CCCCCCTGGGGGTTAGGGGGGGGGGGCCCCAGCCGGTCCCCAATGGGAGGGACCGAGGGATGCGCTGGACATGGAGGAGGTTGAATGCTGCCAGGGGTGCGAGGAAGGAGCCACAGCCATTTTTTGGGTGCAAAACGAAATGGGCTGACTCCTCCTCTCCTCTCCTCGCCTCTCAGCCCCTTTCACCCCGGCTCCCACTGACAGAAGAAACCACTGGGACATCCCCCCATGGATGCAGACCCCAAGATAAACCCACCTCGGCTTCAACACAGGGAGATATTTCTTGCCACTACCCTGGGACCCAAAGCCAGCACAGTTCAAGGAACTTAAAATCCATCCATTGCAAAAAAAACTCGAAAAAGCCCCAGCCGGTGCAGCACAGCGCTTGCATCGCAAACAAATCCCTTTGACTTCTGCTTGGCTTCACCTGCAGAGTCACAGAAATGGTCATGACGGGCCCAAGTCAGGGGTTCGGGACCCCGAGCAGAGATGCTGCAAAGCTACCGGTTTGCAGAGGGATGCGCGGAGCCGGATGCCACCGACCCCTCGGGATGCTCCCACTTCCAAGGCCAGATCCGGATCTCCTTCTTCGCTTGGGCCCGTCCCTAAGTGCGTTGCAAGCTCTGGAAAAGCTACAAGACTTTGGCAGCAATTTCAAGGGCTGACCCAGGAATTATCTGATAACAAAGCAAGGTCCTTCCTGAAATACCTCCTCCTCCTCTGTCTTTTTCTCTCCTTCTGTGTATTTATGCACAAATATGCCCATATTTATACACCCACGTGCTACGCTCTCATAACACCAGTCTAGAGATCCTTTTCTTCGTATAGCTCAGTATTCAAGTCCGTAGGACTTTGACACAAAACATCGCTGCAGAGATTAGTTTTCCCAGTGAAACACATTGCCTCATGCAGACGGTTTTTCCCCTAGCAGCCCTTGGTGCTGGTCTCCAGCCGCTGTATGAGCCTCACCCCATTGCCCTTAGCAGAGATTTCGGAAGATGTTAAAAAGCTGATGGGTTGCTCACAGGTTCAGGCGTGTGGTTGGGTGTTACAAGACAACCCGCGCTGTAATCACCACTTTCCATCTCTCCAAAACCACGGCACAATGGATTAAACTAAAATACAGGTGCTGTCTCCTCTGGGTGCCAGCCCAGGAGCACCTCCACAGACCAGAAAGCTTCAGTCCTCCATCCCAGCCTTGGAGAGAGGCAAACATCTCCACGGGAGGAGGAAAGGAACCGGACCACCTACGTTAGGTGGCCCGATGCTAAAGTAGATGTGGGACTCTCCCCCTCGCCGGTCCCTAATTTAGCATCCTCAGTCTGAGCTGCTTTGCAGCTCCTTTTTGCACCCTTTCAGAGTCAAGAGGAGTTTGGGATGCTCAGCATCTCTGCAGAAACGGGCCCAGAGTCTCTCAAAAAGTCCTCAAGGAAAAAAAAATAAAAAAAAGAAAAAAAAAAATCACAGTCTCCTCCTGAAAAACTGGTTCAAGATCACATCAGTGAGTCAGAAGCAAAGCTAGAAATAGCACTAGAGCTCCGACCTGCAGGCACAAATCCCATTAAAAGCTATAGGGGAACCATTTCTTTGTGCGGGGGAGAAACCCGGACCCTTCTGCTTCGTGCAGCCTGATGGATCGCTTCCAGCCACAGCCCCCATGGACCTTTTTTGCCCTGAACCAAACATCCAAGCACTTCTCTGGGTGTTCTCCCTGTTTCCCAAACATGGTGCCAAGGGCGGCCCAGAGACACTGTCCCAGCGGGGCTCGTTTTCCCCAGGAACATCTGCCCGGATCAATGCCAGAGGTGCAGGATCTGTCCTAAGGAAGGGACCGGCCGCGCTGGCTCCTGCCCTGGGGACGGATGCCAGCTCACATTGGTGATGACAGAAGGAACGTGGCCTCTTGCTCTTTGGCTCTGTTCATCCCTGCGGTGCAGCTCTGGGGCTTCCAAGGTAGCTGGGACCCCCCAGCCTGGTGAGTAGGTTTGGATGTGCCTGATCCTGCTCCCGGACCCGCTCTCCCCTCCTGCCCGCCCTCGGAAAGCCCACAGGGACACCATGCCCAAAACAACACCTCTCCCAAAAAACCCATGATCATCCTCCTTACCAAACCGCAACGGCGTTCACGCTCCCAGGATGCGCCCAGCACTTTGGCAAACGCTCCCCCCAAAAATCATCCGAAGCCCACGTGCCTTAAACAACCGGGCGCTTTGCAAAGTCTCGTTGAGTGCCAGCATCCTCCCAAAAAACCTGCAGCAACCTGCCCTCGGTGCTTTCCCGCACGCTAGGATTGGGATCGCCCGGTGCTAGGGGCACCCACGGGTGGGCGGGCAGAACCCCAGCGCATCGGGCGGCTTCCCCACGCAAGCTCACATCCCCATGGACCCGCCACGAGCCGGATCGATGGAAGCTGGCTGACCGCCCTGGGAATCGCGCCCGAGCCCCATCCCATTCAACGGGATGAGCTTCAGAAGCAGAGATTTATTGCTTTGGGTTGCTTTGCTTCTTTTTGTGAGTTTTTAAGATGCTAATGGGCTTCAGGGGCTCCCATTTCAGAGCTGCAGCAGCAGAGAGAGAGGAGAGGGCTCCTAATATAACGAGATGTAATTAAAGGCAGGCCGGGGTCCCATGCTGCGTGGTGCTGAGCACCTTTGAGACCCAACGCATTGATGTTGCTGGTCCTCTGCACCAAGCAGAAGCCAGAACTCTCGTGCACTAACCATGGACACTTGGTATTAATTATAGCCAGGCGTGAATCAATCAATCAATCAATCAAATAAAAATTTTGAGTGATCTCACCTGGCCGAGTGGAGTCACATCAGCACAAGAGATGGATCCGGCCCTAAAGCAGCATTTTGAACCATTGCTGTAGAATACGCTAGCACCGTTTATTTTATTGTTATTTGTATGGTTTTCCTCTCTGAGCTCAGGAAGGGTTTGATTGACCTCCCTCGCACGCTCTGCAATGGGGTTCCCTCCTTGCGCCCACACTTCACCGCAGCGGTACAGCACTGATCACGCCCCAATTCAGCCCAAATTCACCCCAACTCAACAGGCTGCTAAACCCCATCCCGCACCCCGGGGATGCTTTGCTTGACCATGATCTTGGAAGAGGTTTGCGTCCCTCTCCCCTGAGCTGGCAGAAGAACGGGGTGCCCATCCCCAGGGATTGTCGGCAATGGGGGGAAAACACGAGGAAATCCAGAGGGGGATGAGGAAAGCAGATGAGACCCCCCTGGACCGACGGCTCCCACCTATCCCTGAATAACACCGGGGGTAAAGAAGCAGAGGCAACACTGAGGTCTCTACACCTTGACTCACCCCTCCTAAAAACCCTGGAAGAAGGTAAAGCAAAGGCTCAGAGGCGCGAGCTCAGACCCACCCCAGCCTCAGCACGTGCCCTCTCCACCATAAGGAAACAAATCCCCAGCCCTGAGGCTCTACATGGTTGAAAAAGAGTTTTCCAGCCCAAAACGCACCCTGCCCTGGTGAGCCCATGGGTGCCCCGAGGCAGGTCATCCTGCTCCAGCCCATGTCCCACCATCCCGACACCCCTGAGTTGGGAAGCCCCCAATGCCCTGAGCGCTCACGTTTGCTGAGGATTCGGCCCTACAGTCGCTCTCTAAATATCTATATACACACACACGATAATTGTACGGGAAACGGCTGAAAATTGCTGAACAGACAAGTCAGGAGAGCCGGTACCCGCTATTCCACCGGCTCCTCGTGCCCTCTCTGATCCACCGTGGTTTCTGCTCATGACACCAAGATTAATGACTAATTACTCGCCCCATAATGAGTGCAGGTGTTTAACTTTCAGCTCACCTTCCCTCGCTTGCATTAGTCGGCTCTCATGTCTGGATGCTCGGACACTCAGGCTTTGCCTTGTTACCTATCAAACTGTTGTCAGCACATACCTTCCCCATTCAGTTTTTAAATATAATGGAGATTTTTTAACTCCCATGAATCTCCTTCGAGCCACCGGAGAATCTATAAACACTATAAACATGAATACTGTATAGTCTACTAAGAAAATATATATTTGTGTGTGTATTAAATATTCAGATTCATGCAACGAATATCCATGCAGCTGTACTGTATTACTGGTTAAATTTCACTGCAGTATAAATATATTATAGGCCACAGCATAGTTGCTCCAGTTTTATATATAGATATAAAAAAAGATGCTTTTTCCAACTCATTTTCAATGTGTCAGTGGAGGTGTCTTTGGTGATCCTGGAAATATTGGTGATGGAAGTGTCATCTAAATAAATAAATAAAAGCGCTTGATTTATTTACTCGTCCCTCCCGATGCCTAGCATAGAAAATTTAAGACTTAATAAATAATGTGCCGTCATACTAATTATCCCTCCCCTGGGCCTCACACTGGCATACTGCAGTGGCTGAAACTATTGCAGCATGCAGCATTTTCAGTTATGAAACATGAGCCCGGGCGATGCGTTCGCACTTGGCATTCCCAGGGCGGAAACCCGAGCCTTCAAGCAATTCGGACACACGACTGCATCTTCCCTTCATTAAGCTCTGCCTGACCTTTCCCGGCCGTTCCCCACGCCTGGAAGCTGGCTGTCCCCCAGCTCCACGGGACAGGGACCGGCATCCGTGGTACTCCGGGATGGCCCGGAGCTGCCCCCTGCATCCCCATCCCGTTGCTCCAAATGCCCAACCGCTCCGTATCTTGGGAAACCCACTGGGATGGGAGAAGGGAAACAAAATGGTTTGTTGGGGTTTTTTTGCACGGATGCTTATTCGGTGTGGAAATCAAAGGTTAAAAGTCACTTACACAGCTATTGCTTCCCATGCAGAACCAAATATACACCGTAGAAAATACTGTATTAACTACAATGCAGAGCAGCACTCAATATCTGCAATTGTTCCACTTCAGCTTTAAATACGTTACTAGATTTTAGCGACTAGACATCGGTTAGCATTTTGGTGATATTCACATAGTTTGTGTTAGCTAGGGTGCAATTGGCTGTCTTCAAGTTCTCCTCCCTAAAATCCTCATTGCTATTGTTTACGCCTTCCTGAATCTCCATATAATCAGACTTACTAATAGTAGAGGCACTTCTGCTTTTCTTTAGGTCAGGGGAAGAGGGGATCTTTGGGCAGCTGGTTACTTGCAAATATTGAGCCTGCTCCTCTCCCTCCGTCTCCCGGTGGTAGAAGTAATTGAAGTTAGACACTATGACGGGCACTGGTAAGGCAATCGTTAATACGCCAGCGATGGCACACAAGGAACCCACTATTTTCCCCCCGATGGTCGTGGGGACCATGTCTCCGTAGCCAACAGTCGTCATGGAAACCACGGCCCACCAGAAGGCATCGGGGATGCTCGGGAACTGGGACTCGCTCTCGTCGGCCTCGGCAAAGTAGACGGCGCTGGAGAAGAGGATGACGCCGATGAAGAGGAAAAATATCAAGAGGCCCAGCTCCCGCATGCTGGCCTTGAGAGTCTGCCCCAGGATCTGCAGCCCCTTGGAGTGTCGGGAGAGCTTGAAGATCCTGAAGACCCGCACCAAGCGGATGACTCGAAGGATGGCCAAGGACATGGCTTGCTGGCCTTGCTGACCATCCTCCGGCTTCTCGGCCAGCTCCGTCCCTAAGGTGATGAAATAGGGAATGATGGCTACGATGTCTATAATGTTCATGATGTTGGTAAAAAACCCAGCCTTGCTGGGGCAGGCGAAAAACCTCACCAAGAACTCGAAGGAGAACCAGATGATGCAAAGTGTCTCCACGATGAAGAAGGGGTCTGTGAAAGAGGTGGACTGCTGGTACCCCATGCTGCTGTTGGAGTAGGGGGGATGGCTCAGCCCGCTGCCATGCATGTCTTCGTTCTCATCCCGAAAAATGGGCAACGTTTCCAGGCAAAAGCTGACGATGGAGATTAAAATCACCATGACGGAGACAATAGCTATAATCCTGGCAGGGCCTGAGCTCTCAGGGTACTCAAAGAGCAACCACACTTGTCTCTGAAACTCGTTCTCAGGCAAGGGTCTTTCCTCTTCTTTGATGTAGCCTTCATCCTCCCGAAACATCTCCATCGCTTCTTCCCCCAGTTCATAGAAACGAATTTCTTCCGAGAAGATATCTAAGGGCACGTTAACTGGCCTCCGCAACCTCCCACCAGACTGGTAATAGTACAAAATCGCATCGAAGCTGGGTCTGTTCCGGTCAAAGAAATACTCGTTCCGGAGTGGATCGAAATATCTCATTCTCTTTTTAGGATCCCCTAGTAAGGTCTCTGGAAACTGGGCTAGTGTCTTGAGCTGTGTCTCAAAGCGCAGACCCGAAATATTAATGACCACCCTCTCACAGCATTCATGGTCGGTCTCAGGGTTATACGTGTCCTGCGGGTGACCGGGAAGAGCTGCAGCTTCATCTGCAGGATCTCCAGTAGCAACTGTCATATTGGGCTTTAAAAGAAATCCTTATGCTAAACTCTTCCCAGTGCCCGGTGGTGGGATCGGATTCAGGGCAGGGCTACTATCCTGCAGAAGGACAGGTACGTAGGTTTGGAAGTGTCTCATGAAAAGGTGGAGGGATGATATAAAAAAAGAAGAGAAAATAAAAAAAAAAAAAAAGGAAAGAAAATCGTCCCTGCTGAGAAAGAGAGAGATGAAATAAAGTTGGGGGGAGGAGAGCAGCTCCCTTCACTAGCGTGTCTATCCCCTTCCTTGCGGGGGGTAATTTGCCTTCTTTGGGACAGAGTTCAAAAACTCCCATCTAAACCCATGAGGTGGAAGAGAGAAAACACCTGAGGAACCGTCACCTATTCAAAACCAGCGTGGAAAAACTGGCATTGGCAAACGAGAACTTTTTTTTTTGGCTAAAAATAAAAATTCCAATTAAAAAGAAAAGGGGGGGCGGGGAAGGGAAGAGAAAGGAAGGAAGAAAAATAACCCCGTCCAGCCCTAAAGTGGCGAGGGGACCCCGCGGGGCGCCGGGGAGAGGCAGAGCAGGCTCAGCTCATTTCCAGGCATGCAGCTAAGGGTTAACATTTAACCGTGCAATCTCAGGCAATCTACCCTCTAGGAAAGCTCTAACTCCGGTTTTAAGTTCGACACCTTCCCAATCCTCCTGCCCTGGCCATAAAGCGACGAAGCGACATGCTGCCCTCCCTGCCTGCAGCCAACCGGGCAAGCTTTGCGGCTGCTTGAAATTGAAAAAAGAAATTGCAGCCGCCGATGCAAGCTGCCCCGCGGACCACTGCAGTCCCCCTCCTCGACCGCTGGTGTCCCGGCTCCTGTCATTCTCTGCAAACCACCATGGCACACAGAAAACAAATCACATTACCTGGAGAAGCCAAATCTTAGTGTCTCTTAGTAACACCGATTATCTGACCCTGGGGAAATCCTAGAGAGAAATACAGGCTTCCAAGATCCCCATAATTTCCTCTCTCTTCAAAGTTAAAAATAATGGTGAGTCATCGTAGAAAAAGGAGAAGGGACATAAAAGGGGTTAGATTCCCAGATGGTGGAAGTCAGGTCTTGTAATGGTTTGGACTGGAGAGAGAGAGAAAGAGAGACAGAGAGACAGAGAGACAGAGTCTTCTCAGTAGCTGTTGCAGATCTGCACTTCAGGGCAGATGAGCGTCTGTCTGATGCCTTCGGTACGACGGTGGAAAGATGCTAAGCTCAGCAAAACCCGATGTCCCCAGTGTCCTCGGGAGGTGTGGCATCGCCTGGAAAAAACACCAAGAAGGTAGCAAGCTGCTGGGGGCTTGAAAGGAGCATCTGCAAAGCCCCGGCTCCACCAGGCACCCCCTTTTTCCTCCCCGCGAGCTGTTTGCCCGCTGCCTGGCCAACCTGCACTGCAACACGAGAGGAGGACGAGAGCGCGCTAGCGGCAAGGCGGAAAAAACCAAAGCCCCATCTCCCTCCGCTCTCGCTCAACGCCACGGCGTGCAGCGGGGCCGGGCTGCCCATGGGAGCCGGTGCCAGGCGGAGGGGAAGGGAGGGGAACGGCGCA